AGAAGCTAAACATGAGGGATAAATTCAGTACTGTGAATATACAGTACTAAGTATATTCGAAGCATACTGTATATTCAAATTGCTGAGTTAATCCCTCATGTTTAGCGTCTGCCATCCTAGGCTCATGCTGCCACATCAAATTTCCCCATGGTTAAAAAAAAAGGCAGTCAGTCCACCCAAAAAAAAAGCAAAAATGAAATTCTAAAATATCTTGTCCAGTAAAATAATATATACATCACAGATTTTATGAGTATGCTCTGTGTTTATGCAAAACACAGATTTCTACACACAAACATCTTTAGAAAACATTAAGCTAAAAAAAAAAAAGTCAAACGGATTTTCATTTCACAGATATTTTTGGAGATCTCAGTATGTGCATCACTTGGTAGAAAGGCAGGAGGCAGTGTTTCCTGGACAAATTCAGCCATGTTCTCTTTTCCTTATAGCAACTCACAGATTCTCTGGTCCGAGTTATGAATTTGGGGTGTGTGGGAATAAATTATATCCAGTCTACTAAATTTTCATCTATACAGATTTGCTGAAAATCTTTAGCTTCTGAGCTACAGCTGAAAAAAATTTATCATCAAAAACCAGACTTTTTAAAAACAAGCACTGTTTTTCTTTCCATTTGCTTTCACATTTGAATTACTGGTGAAAACCCATATTCAGCATTTTCTCAAGTTTCTTTCATTCCATTTTTTTAAACTGACCATGTCACGCTGTTGTTCTTAAGTGCCGCTGTGCAGGCTATGACTCATAGCAACCCCATACACAACAGAATAAAACACTGTCCAGCTCTGCGCCATCCCCACAATCCTTGCTGTGTTTGAGCCCATTGTTGCAGCTACTGTATCAATCCATCTCATTGAGGGTCTTCCCCTTTTTCACAGACCTTCTACTTTACCAAGCATGTTATCTTTCTCCAGGGAATGGTCCCTTCTGACAACATGACCAAAACAGATGAGACAAAGTCTGCCCATTCTCACTTCTGAGTAGCATTCTGGCTGCAATTCTTCCAGGGCAGATTTGTCAGTTCTTCTGACAGACCATGGTATTTACAGTATTCTTCACCAGTACCAGGATTCAGAGGCATCAACTCTTCTTTGATTTCCCTTATTCATAGCCACTCCTCGGAAGAAAGGTTGGGCAATCTACTTCCATAGTGATACTGCCTCGGAAACCCAAGGAGTGGTCGCTATGAGTCAGGTCCGACTCGACAGAAGTGAGTTTGGTTTTTTGTTTTGGTTTTATTCATTGTCTTGCTTTCACATGCATATAAGACTATTGAAAATACCATTGCTTAGGTTAGGCACCTTAGTCTTCAAAGGGACATCTTTGCTCCTTAGCACCTCAGATAGGTCTTCTGCAGATTCTCCCAATCCAATACGTTATTTGATTTCTTCACTGCTGTTTCCACCAGTGTTGACTGTGGATCCCAGTAAAATGATATCTCCAACAACTTCAATCTTTTCTCTGCTAATCATATTTTTGCTGCTCCAGTTGTGAGGATTTTTTATGTTGAGTTATAATCCATAATGAAGGCTGTAGTAGTCTTTGATCTTCATCAGGAAGTACCTCAAGTCATCTTCACATTCAGCAAGCAAGGTTGTGTCATCTGCATATTGCAGGTTGTTAATCAGTCTTCCTCCAATCCTGATGCTGCATTCTTCTTCATATAGTCCAGCTTCTAGAATTATTTGTTCAGCATACAGATTAAACAAATGTGGAGAAAGGATACGACCATCTCATCCTACAGGATCATTTCATATGACATTACAGTTAAATTTTTAAATATTTAAATACTTTTTTCATACTTTAAGCTTAACTGGAAATGTTTCAGTATTTCTTTCATTACATAACATGCAATTATTTTCTTACTAAATATTGGGCAGTTTTCACATACTGTGCATTGGTTCAAAACTGTTATTTCCATTTCAAAAGCAAATATACACTCAACCATATGAAATATACAGATTATGAATTTTTTTTTTTTTTTTACTGTTACTCGTGATGGAGGATAGTTTCAAACACTACTTGAAAAATGGTAACTGAGCGTGGCTCTTTGTTATAAACTGTGTTTTTTATATATCATGTTTAATTTAAAAAAGAATTAAAAATTATTAAAAAAAAGAGATTTCACTTCTCTATTAGGCACACCAGCAGCATCAATGGCACCTATAGACTTTCAACCACTAATACAGTGTTCAGAGTTTAGTAATTTTTCTTATGTAGTCCCTGTAAGTAAATACACTAGCTGTTTTAGAATATTTAAAAGAAATAAATAATGCTGGGTTTCTTACTTATACCCTCAACAACAAATATGAAGAGCAGCTACCATGTCCTGGATGATATCCTAAGTAGTAAGGTTACCTCAGTAAACAAAATCGTGGACCACATATGAAATAAATAAATCATCTAACACAGAAAAAATAATTAAAATAATGACTGCAGACAGGAAAGGTATAATATTAAAGTTGGTGATCAGTGCCCAATGGCAAAGGTAACATTACAGTAAAAATTTCAGGAAGGTGAGGGGAGTATGAGGTCCAAAGTATGCTGCTCACTGGGGGGAAGAGAATTCCATGAGAAAAATCAAGAGTAAAGGTGCTGAGAAAGGAGCTCTGGTGGCCCAGTGCCTAATGCATTTGACTGCTAACCAGGAGGTTAACAGTTCAAACCCACCAGCCACTCCATGGAAGGAAGGTGGGGTAATCTACTTATGTAGAGATTTACCACCTTGGAAACCCAATGGGGGTCATTATGAGTTGGAATCAACTCATTGGCAGTGGTTTTGGTTTTTTTTGGTAAGGTCCAGAGAAGGACAATTGCTATTTAATACTTCCATATTTAATAGATAGTGATCCTTACTGTGTGATGTAATTTTTAATTTGGGACCCAGGAGAGATGGAGTAGGCTAAGTGAGATACAATTTCAATGAACCATCTAATCTAGTTTATCCTTCCATGGCCCATAGGCAAAATCTGATTTACCATCTGTATTTATTATAAAGTTTTATTGGAACAAAGCCTCACTCATTGGTTTACATATTGCCTATATATGGCTCTGTTCATGCTAAGCCTGCTTAGTTGATTAGTTACCACAAAGATCGTATGGCCTGTAAAGCTTAAAATAAAATCTGACCCTTTTCAGAAAACGTTTGCTGACCTGACTCTATGGAATTCAGAATGCCACCTGAGTCTGTGCTACTTGCACCAAAGGAACCTGTGACCATGTGAGTTTCACAAAGCCTAACAACCTCTGCAAAAGCAATGTGAAGGCATCACTTAGTCTAATTAATGAACGTCTTAAACACCCTAACAATAGCCTACTGTGGTCTAATTAGGGAAAGGGAAAATTCAAATTCTACTTCTTAACTAATAAATACATGCATCTTAGCCAGTTAATTTTTATTTTCTTTCAATGCACAGCAACATAATCACATAAAAGGGTTTTAAATATTCTGGTGATATAACAAGCTCCTTTGTTTACTTTCCCATCTCCATTTATCCTGGTGTCCAGGAGAAAACGTTTTAAAGCAGAACACCCAATTATTTCCCCTGAAATGAAAAAATACAAATCTAGAAAACTTGTAACATCTGACCTTGGGCAGGTTCAGAATAGAAAGGATAGAAAATCAGGAGTTCTGATAAAGAGAGAGGGCAAATATTGGCAAATGTGTCCAAGGAGGCCTATAATGGTGAAGTCTGTCAGTGTGCCTGAAGCATAAACATATCTACTCTGTAAAGAATAAGACACCACTGGAGATCACACAGGAAACCACAGCTCCTCAGGGCTCCATACCCAGAGTTGACTAAATGTGCTGGTGATATTTTGAAAGAGCACTTGGCTCTCCCTAAACACTTACATTTTATAGAAACGAAAGATTGGGAATATTCAAACTCACTGTTTAATTTCAATAGTGTGTGTATCTGAATGCTGACTCATAACTTTGGTATCTGAATATTGATTTCTTGAAAATACTGATAGCTGAAAAATCACTGTACACAGCAGACTAAGAAATACTCATTTTCGGTTTATTCAAAAAAGGATGCAATCATATAAATTATTAATCATATAATTAGTAACCATATATGTTTTGAGTTTGTTTTTGTTTTTTGCTTTCTTAAGAAATTTAATTCCTGCTCTTATTATTCATCTGAGGCTGCTTCTGATCATTTTATTGCTAATAAAATTGATTTTAGATCAAACCAAGACACTGTAGAAATGGTGAACACTTTTAGGGGTATAGGAGAAAAAGCCAGCACATTGTAGAGGCACACCAAGTTAACTACTTAAACACGAGAAGTTTAATCACAAAATTACCTAAATAATTCATGGGGAATATTTCAAGTAAATATTTCAAAAACACCTATATTTTAGGATGCCAGAAAACAATTCTAATTACATATAATCCCTTCCCAAACATTTTTCAGTATTAGAAAATACTTAAGGGGCAGAGTTATTTTGTAAAGATCAGAAATAATGTTTTAAAAGTATAATATTTGAGGGGTCCTGATTTCTGTGCAACATGCTAAGGCAAAACAATTTATCAATAACAATGAAGACTGAACTCTAACAATGACGTACTTTCCCCTAAGTACAATAAGCCTTGTATACCCAAACAGAACACTGTTATGATATGACCAAAAGCCAAATAGCATGGGTCGAGTAATATTAATTCAGTCTGTGTTGTTTTTCTTCATTACAAATTCAGACACAGAATAGTGCAAAATTAGAAACAAACGTTAAAGACCTAGATGTAAAATCGAAACTTTCACCTTTCATTTGCTAATCAGAATCTTAATCCAGCCTTCCACATAGCATATTACACTTTACACTTTATGTCTAAAGACACAAAGGCATTTGCAAAAGTATATTAAAAGTCCCTAATCATTGTATCTCTCTATGTGTGGGTGGGATGTAGATCAACTGATTCAATGGCAACTTGTGAGTGTGTGAATTTTCAAAAAATGTTATTTATGAAATTAAAAAATACATACCCTTGAGGAGAGAGTTTGTCCAGCCACCCAGATTTAACCTTCCTTACAGATGATCCATAAAAACAAGCATAAGGAGATATTGCATTCGAGGAAATGGTTGACGAAGCAGCATTTCCACTTATTGAGCTAAATGGGTAACTGTGCCTAGTAAGAGGGTCCAAATTCAACACTTTTTGAGCCCTAGATTTAGATGCCTTTGAACTTTTTCTTCTTAAGCTGTGAAAACACTCTTCTACTGTTGAGTATTCCGATTCAGAAGCAGAGTCTATTAGAACATGATTTTTGTCCTCTCGAGGTATCCAAATATCTTCCACTTTATCTTCACTGGTTTTCTCCACCCTGTTATCGTAGATGCTAAATGGAATGAAGAGGTGTTAGTATCTCAGCGCACTAAATGCCACTTAAGCAGTCATTTGTTTTTAGTTATAAATGAAGATCACAAAAATAAAGACTAAGAAAATCTTAAGAGTTCGATGAGCCCTAATGGCAAATTTTAAAACCTTCCAGATAATTAAATGGAAATCATCATTATCCTAGGACATATTTGAACACTATTAGCAAGTTTTTCCCTGTGTACAATTTAAATCTGGTCCCTTTTATTATGGGAGATTGGATGCAGATTGGTAAGAATGGAGACTGACCATATTCTTTACATTATAATTTAAACACCTTCAACAGCAACATTAGTGGTCAGCCCGACACACTCTCTGGACCATCAAGAACCACTAACATATCTATCCTGAGATCTTATTTCCAATTTAGGGGTCCCTGGGCGGTAACAGTTTACGCACTCAGCTACTAATCAAAAGGTTGGAGGTTCAAGTATATCCAGAGGGCATCCTGGAGACAGACTTAGCCTTGCTTCCTACAAATCAGTCACTGAAATTCCTATTGAGGACAGTCTTTCTGTGACACACACAGGGTCACCACGAGTAGGAACTGACTCAATGGCAACTTGTTTGTGGGTATGTGTTTTTCAATTAATTACAATTTGTGTCCCTCAAACTTTCCTAACAAACTCTGCAAACCCCATGCTCTACCAAAATACAAGAAAACAGAGAATATGTCTAACTGCTAAGAGCTTCAGTATTTTGCTATACTAATGAGGGAAAAAAAAACTACACCTCACTGCTAGCAGAACACAAGGCAGGCTCAGTGTACAATATATAATACTATAAAATATTTACTGGAACATACTCATTAGAGCTAAGTATATTCCTATAGATTTAAGGAATGACAGATTTTCCCAGTTGTTTATGTACAATAAAACCCATTACAATGAAGTTTTTACTAATCAATGAAATAGATATACATAGAGGTAAAATTACATACTCCTGGATATAGTGTTCTAAAAAGCATTTCTTGCTCAAAAATAGATTTAGCAGCCTTCTACCAGTTTATATTATAATAGATTCAAGTCAAATACTTGCTAAATGTGTGAAATTATTTAGTTTCCACTTACGGAAACCTACTTAACAAGGCTATCCTTAATTGTTAGCCTAGGAAAATGAAGGATATATAGAAAATAAAACAAACATCAGGTAATGATCCAGTATTCCAATTCCCAATAAAGCTGGGGGGAGGAGAATTACAACAAACATAAAATTTAAACTGGTGACTATAAGTTTAGTTTAATTTCATGTGTGATCCAAATAAATAAATAATTTTCAAGCTTCTTGTCCATGCTGACCCTCCATTAAAAAGGACACATTACACTGCACTTTACAAGGTGATATATTAAATTGTCCCTTTCTCCTATTTATTAACATATCTATCATCTCTAAGGTACAGTCAAGGTCACCACATATTTGCCACTTTGTGGGGGGAGGTTTCAATCAAAGACAGACTAAAACAATCTGCTATGGAATATCACTCTAGACCCCATGTCCTGACCCCTTGCATTCAATCATCACAATGGGTGCACACAGAAACAAAACACCTGATCATACCAAAGTAATTATCATTATTTCTTAGAATTATAATACGAGGAAAAACATTTTAGAGTATTTTATTTGAAAAAATTAATCATGATCAATCCATGACAACATACCTTGATTTGACCAAAAGAGAGTTCTTTTCAGTAGTTGCTTCCCCTTTAAGTGTTTCCTCATGGGTCCAAAATTCATTCCTTATTGATTTCTTCTATAAAAATAAATAAATGCATTTATTGGTTCTGTTGCTGTTTTTTATTTTAATTATGAAACAATATTCTATGAAGGTCCACAACATTTGTGATTACTTTTAATAACCAAATGTTGCTTAGATCAATTTTCAGTAAAATCAATATAATCAAGGAGACTACACTTAAACAGTAGTCTTTCATTGCCTTTTTTTTTCACTATTTTATTTAAAACATTAATAAATCATAATTTCAACTAATAAAAAAAGATGCTAACAATAATAGAAGTCATTTTACTTTCCTGCTTTCCTTTTATTTTCCAACATCTCTTTTATCAAACCAAGAAATAAAACAGTGAAATGGTACAATTAATGGAGAGGAAAGACTGAGTTACAAATCAAATAATTAAGACATATGAAGAGCTGGAAGTCAGAACACTTCATAAGTTTGTATTTGAGCATACAAAGAAATAAAATCCAGATTTTTGTTTTGTTTTTTATGTTTTAATTGTATTTTATGTTGTTATTGAAGTAACATTATTCTGTGGTAAATTTAAAAATCCCACAATTCTGTATTTCTTGAAATTGAACTGCAAATGTGTTTTTATGACATATAAAGTTATAGAACTATTTTATTAAACAGATTTTACTGATTGGAAATTTCATTCCTCAATATAAGGCATTCTTCACACAGTACACAGGAAAATGAAGGTACATACATAAACAGAAGAGCAAAAAACTGGATATGGAGAAAAGTTTAAATGTATGGGACTAACCTTGTTATTTTCTAGTGTCTGGAAGAGAAAAGTCTCTCCATAAGGGAAAATGGAAGATGAATTCTCCTCATTTGACTCTTTTGGGGGAATTATAGGATGAAAATGGAAAGAGGTGAATAATGTGAAATACTGATTAAAAAAAAAAAAAAAAAAAAAGTGTTCATTTCATAGCAATACCATACCACATCGTAAACTTAATTCTTTGAGAATATAAAATAGAACTTATAATTCTTACCCATAAATCAACTCTTACCATCTTTTTGATATAGCACTCACTGTATATACCAATCAGTACCATTTCTTAAATTGCCATGTGTCATATATATCCCACATTAATATAGCCAAACATATTTTCCACATACAGTGGAAACTGGTGGTACCATTTTAATGTAAATTTCTAAATAAGAGAACAGTATACATGGCATTTGACTGCTAACCAGAAGGCTGGCAGTTCAAACCAACCAGCCACTCCTTGGAAGGAAAGTTGGGCAATCTACTTCCGTAGTGATACCGTCTCGGAAACCCAAGGAGGGGTCACCACGAATAGAGTCCAAGTCAATGGCACATAACAACAACAACAACATACATGGCACAGAATTCATAATTCACCTTAATTCTTTTACAGTTTTCAGTAAGTGATTACAAAAAGTCAACTAACATAACAACTATGTTATAAAGTGTAAGAGGTTATACTGTTCAAAATTCTAGAATCTACTTATATAATTCTTCTAACACCATGGCTGTTAGCACACCATTAAATGAATTATTTCAAGAGAATTTCTACCATTCTTGAATGGCACTGAGTCACAAAAAATAAAAATATAAAACCCTCAACACCTGCATTTTCTGCCACTGTAAAAATCTATTAGCAGTTCAGTAACCAAGTATTTGCCATGTTTTTGTTGACATGAATGTTCCTGAACACGTACCAGCAAAATTTTCAAAAGGAAAGAAAGGCTTCTGTCAATGACCAATTTACCTGAGTAATAATGCTAAGCTTTTCCTGTTGCCATGGTAAAATTACCTTCTATATATCTTTGTCCTGTAGCTCAGACTTCCAGAATCCATTTTAACTTAGCTAAATACCTTTGACTGTAGCTAAGGATAAATGAAGCCTGTGTAAAAAAAGTCTTTTCACATAAGCATGTGCAAATTTCCAAGGAAGCTGAGGGCATGATACTGACTTTTATTCACACACCTTTAAAAGTGTCTGAAGTGGTAAGAAGACAGGCAGACAGCTATTCCCATTACTTGCTATTCCGCAGGTGGGCTGCCTCCTCAATCACAATTGTAACAGATTTAATGCTATCAAATGAGTGCTAACTAAATTACACAGACTTTAAATGCACAGACTCACTTTGCTGGGTCACATAGTTTCCAGCTGAGGTAGTAACATTTCTTCTCTCTAGGAAGTAGCTGAAAACAAAGAGAAAGATAGTTATAAGTTATTGAGTAAAGAATTAATAAGGAGAGACATACATTTTCAGGAATAGAAAAACCAATATTCAAAAATAATTCTGATTTGAAATTCCACAACTGTGTTTTTCTTTATACTCTTCACAAAAGACATTTCACCACATAAGTATTTTCTTCTTACCTCTATAAATCCCAAAAGTAAATAAATTATTGTGTGCACAGACACCAGTTCTAACCAATGAAAATAAAGAGATTAAAACAAAATTTAAAATGAAATGAATAAATACAATTGGCTGCTTAAAATGTATATGTATATACATATGTATGCATGTGTGTACATGTCTACATATATACATAAACACATACACATGTATACAAATATCTAAGTATATATGTGTATATAGGAGCTCTGGTAGCTTAGTGCCTAAAGCACTTGACTGCTAACAAGAAGGCAGGCGGGTTCAAACCCACCAGCCACTCCTCGGAAGGAAGATGAGGCAATCTACTTCCGTAGTGACACTGTCTCAGAAACCCAAGGAGGGGTCGCTATGAGTTGGGTCTGACTCGACACCACGTAACAACAACAACAACAACAATACATGTATATGTACATATGCCATCCTTACAATCTTGCTATGTTCACCATATGCTGAAGCCCACTGTTGCAGCCACCGTGTCAATTAAGCTCATTAAGGATCTTCTTTTTCACTGACCCTCTACTTCACCAAGCAGGATATCCTTCTGCAGAGACTAGCCCCTTCTGACAACATGTCCAAAGTACATGAGACAAAACCTTGCCATCCTCACTTCTAAGGAATGTTCTGGTTGTATTTCTTCCAAGACAGATTTTTTCATTCTTCCGGCAGTCCATGGTACATTCAATATTCTTCACCAACATCATAATTCAAATGTATCAATTCTTTTTTGGTCTTCCTTATTCATTATCCAGCTTTTGCATGCATATGAGACAAGTGAAAATACTATGACTTGGGTTAGGAGTACCTTAGCCCTCAAAGTGACATTTTTGCTTTTTTAACACTTTAAAGATGTCTTTTGCAGAAAATATGCCCAATGCAATACATCATTTGATTCCTTGACAGCTGCTTCCATATGCTCTGATGATATATTCAAGTAAAATGAAATCCTTGACAACTTTAATATTTTTCCATTTATCATGAGTAATTGATGGTCTGTTCCACAGTCCACCCTTAGCCTAGTTCCACCTGATATCAAGCTTCTCCAATGAATATTTTCACAGATATAGTCAATTTGATTCCTGTGTGTTCCATCTGGTAAGATACACATGTACTGTCACTGTTTGTGTGCTGCAAAAAAAGGTATTTGGAATGAATAAGTTATTGGTCCTGCAAAATTCTATCATGGTGTCTCCAGCATCACTTCTATCACAAGGACATATTTTTCAGCTGCCAATTCTACTTCATTTCCAACTTTTGCATTCTAATCACCAGTAATTATCAGTGTATCTTGATTGTATATTTGATCAATTTCAGACCACAGAAGTTGTTAATCTTAAATTTCTTCATTGTTGGCATTGGTGGTTGGTATGTAAATTTGAATAGTAGTAGTATTAACTAGTATCCCTTGTAAATGTATGAATATTATCCTATCACTGACAGCACTGTACTTCAGGATAGAGCTTGAAATGTTCTTTTTGATAATGAATGTGACACAATTCCTCTTCAACGTGTTATGCCTGGCATAGTAGACCATATGCTTGTCTGATTCAAAATGGCCAATATCAGTCCATTTCAGCTTATTAATGCCTATGATATCAATCTTTGTATACCATTGCTTTTTGATGACTTCTACTCTTCTAGAGTCACACTTTGTAAAGCCCAAATTCCAACTAATAATGATGTCTTCAGCTGTTTCTTCTCATTCTGAGGCATGCCATGAGTAAATGAAGGTCTCAAAAGCTTTACTCCATTCATATTATTAAGGTCAACTCTACTTTGAGGAGGCATCTCTTCCCCATTCATATTTTAAGTGTCTTCCAACATGTTGGGCTCATCCTCTGGCACTATATTAGACAATGTTCCTCTGCTAGTTAAAGTTTTCCAGTAATGTATCAGACAGTGTTTCACTGCTATTCATAAGGTTTTACTGGCCAATTTCTTTAGCACTAGATCACGAGGTCCTTCTTCCTAGTGTTAGACTGAGAGTCTCTGCTGAACTCTGTCTCCCATGGGTGCCTTTTCTGGTATGGTATTTGAAATACTAGCTCCCAGCATCACAGCAACAAGTAAGGCAACAGAGTACGACACACTGAGAGACAAGTGGTGGATGTGTGTGTGTGTGTGTGTGTATGTACATACACAAATGTATATATACACCAGAATCCCAGGAAGGGTAGGGTAAGGAAATTTTTACTCTGTTCTTACACCTAAGAAGCTCTGGTGGTGTAATGGTTAAGGCATTTGGCTGCTAACTGAAATGGTGTGCAGTTCAATCCCATCTGGCTCCACAGAAGAAACATGAGGCAGTCAACTTCCATAAAGATGTATAGGCTTGGAAACCCAGTGGGGTTCTCTATGAGTCGAAATTAATTGGATGGCACTGAATTTATTTTTTGGTTTTCTTATATCTACCTCCTGGTTCCCCACATGGACAACAATCTCTAGATTGGTAATGAATATGTATTACCTCAGCTTAAAAAACAAACAGAAGAGCTAGAAAACATAAACACACCTATATATATATATATTTTTTAATCTGGGGCCATCTACTTCCTTAGTGATATGGCCTCAGAAACCCAAGGAGGGGTTGCTATGAGTCAGACCTGACTCAACAGCAGTGAGTTTGATTTTGATTTATCTATGTATATATTTAAAAATATGAATTCACACTGATACTTCTCAACAGTATAGTGTACAGGGTACATTTTAGTCCATCTTCTTTCCTAACCTGTAACTATTTCTCCAAAAGTGAGAAGCCTGATATTGATCACCTACAATATACAGTTGACCCCTGAACAACACAGGGATTAGGGGCATCGCCCTCCAGTGCAGTAAAAAATTTACATATAATTTTTCATTCTCAAAAATTTAACTACTGGGAGTTCCGGCAAGATGGTGGACTAGGCAGAAGGATTGCACAGATCCTCTTCAACAAAGAAAAGGGAAACCAATTAGCACAGACACAGAAGATAATCTCGGACCCCTGAGCCTTGAAGGGAAAGATACAGAATTGGACTAAATCCCAATTAGCAGAAGAATTTGCGTGAAAATACCAAAAAAAGGAGACATACGGAGCTGCG